TGTTCTTAGTGTTTCTCTCTTATTTGTTGTTATATTGCTATCTTACACTGCTATTATTATTATTATTATGACTTTATTTTTCGGCATCATTATTGCTATTCTACCATTAATTCTATCTTTATTTCAACATTCCCTTCATATTCAAATAGATTTATTTCACCAAACGCGGGTGTTAAGCACTCCTCCTGTTGCTGCTTTCTGTATTGCTTGAACAACATGTTTTATTTTTTACCAAAAAGCCATGCTCAGACCAATATGCCAGTTGAGGTAGATTGTAACCAGGGCGTGAACAGTAGGATTATCCATATTTGGCAAGGATTCAGCTAGAATTACAAAAAAAGTTTATCGTATGGAGGAGATCAGTGAGAAGAGATGAGCGTGAGAAATTAGGTCAGAAACAGGAACTTACAGAACACTTCATTATCAAACAATTTGGGTGAGTGTATGATAATTTTATCGGGAAGGGAGGAGGAATTCTTTGCGGTGTCTGCCCTACTCGCGTCATACAGTGTTATTTGGAAAGTTATTTTTCAAAGGAATCTTTAAAGCAGAAGTGTCGAGCTGCTGGTTGTGCATTATGTTAGCCAGACACTGAAGAGGTGCTCAGCTAACAGCAAGGATTATCCATCCGGTCGGGATCAGGTGGAGCAGCTCCGCACTAGTCTACAGAGCGACAAGACGGCGAAGAAAGAGAGGAAGAGCTGCTGCAGCTTGCTCACAGTGATCAGGTACGTTCAGCTTCTCCATTGATCATCGGCTTCATTTTCTGTACTTCATAGCATTTTCCGTCTTAAACGAGATTCAGCGACGAAGCCAAGCGAAGTAGTAAGAAATTTTGGAAGTTTATGAGCGGGACTGTCCAACGGCTGGTGGGTGACTGTACTGATGATTCTTACTCCCACCCACACTGCCTTTGTTCCATTCTGCCAGTGCTTACAGCTAAGGGATGAAACACAAAGTGCATACTGACGTGTCCAGCCACAGCATGTCACATCTTCGCATTTGCCGACATTACATTTCTAACTATAATTAATCACCCAATGCTTCAAAGATAGGATATCATTGAATGTTTTGGATGAAATTGGCTGAAAAACTATTAATTTTTCGGAAAATACCAATGATTTCTTATAAAATGCTCAAACTCCTGCTTCTTGCTTTCTCTTTCTTTTGTCATCTCAGCATCTCAGCGGCCAGACATAATTCTAAATTTTCTGTGCAGCTTATGCTTAGGTAATAGTTGTTTTTTAGTGGTCACTTGTTTGCATAGTCCCAACATTCTGCCATTATTGGCTTTTCAATTGTTTCACTTCGTTCTAATTTTTGCGCCTTACCAGTTGGTTTATGCGCACTTTTTGCTGTGTAACAGCCGCATAAAATGGATGTTGTCATGCCCCTTTGTGTGTTTGTGTCCATGTCCGAGTGCGTTTCGTTCTGAATTTTCAATCCGGGTACTACAGAAGTTAGAAAGCTAAAATTTTTAGATGATACCCCCAAGCAAGTGCCTATCTCAAAAATTTAATTCAGCCTCCACTTACGCTTAGAATTCACGTGTGGGCACGCGGGAGTTTTGGCGTGAAATTTCCTGTCTCGGAAATCGACAAGACTGAAAGCTAAAAGATTAATGTGATGCTTTCTCTGAATGACAACCCTGGAACTTCAAGTCCTGTTTTCATGTATGCATATATCTCAGGTAAGGACAAGTGAAATTTTGGAAAATTTTGAGGTCGGGGTAAAAATAAAGCTGAATTTGTTGGAGTATGTTTTCTGTTTATGTGCCAACCTACGTATTCAAATCTGTTTTTCGTGAGCGCCTACATTTCACGCATGGTCACGTGGCATTTCATATTTTTGCACATACCAAACTGTAAAGCAGTGAATATTCTTAACAGTAACTGCTCGCTATACAAAACTGCGCAAAACACATACTCTGGTGCGTGCCGCTATTTTTCTTTAGTCTTTTCTCTCTATGTTGCTTTGATTGGGTGTTTCGATAGAGGTATACTAGTCTTTTCCTTCGAGTTTTATATTCTTGATGGGGATTTTTGCTTTTTGAATAAGGTGCTTGTTGAATTGACTTACAGAGATTATGTCTGCAAATATTGCGGATGCGGAAAATCTGAAAGACGAGGGGAACGCAGCTTTTAAAAGAGGCGAGTTGAAGGAAGCTATTGAGCGTTACACCGAAGCACTGGAACTCGATCCACAAAAATCTCTCAAAGCGACGATCTATAGGAACCGAGCAATGGTTCGGCTGAAAATGGACGACTTCGAAGGTTGCGAATACGATGCTTCACGTGGTACTCCTTTTTTTCCAGTTTTTCCAGCTTTAATTTCTTAATTAGCTGTTATAGCTGCTTTCAGATGTTATAGCTTTAGCAGTAGCAATTGTGAAAGGATTATCAGTTGCATTGTTGGGCGAAGATGCTCTGCGATGGACTACAGCTACACAGAGTATTTAAATAAGTATGAAACAACGTGGTTTCAATAGGCCCTGCTCGTTCTTTGCCAACCTGGAGAAGCATTCGAAGTATGTGAGGACAAGACAATTTTTTCCACAACTAGCTATTGCGAATTTAGCAGTTGTTTTCCCTTGTCACCGGTGTTCCGTAAAGAATCCGCATCTGTTCACAATATTTTCCGAGCAGTCTTTAGAACTATTGAAGCTAACTTTTAGCCCTGTGTTAATTGTTTCTGCGTTCAATGTTTATTTCCTTCTCCCTCGGAAAGTGACTCGCTTTCTAATTTAGTCGAATTTGACTAGCTTTCAGTACTTTTAGTGATTTTGCATTGTATATTAGATTTTTTTTTTT